TCGGTGACCCCCGCTGTGTTCCTGACACTCCTACAGGAAATAGATTGAAAATCAATTTTCTGGTTAAAAAAAGTTTTTGCCGAGAAGCTGGTCTTTTTTTCGGAGGTGAATTGTTTCCTGTTTCTAAACTTTATTTATTGTACGTATTATATGTCATAGTTTGTGTAAAACTCAGTGTTGTTGTTATTTGTGACTCATCTCATCAACACGAGGATCAAGACTAAAAGTGCAGAAACAGGCAGATACAGGGTTTTGATTCAAACGTCTGCAAAAATTGCATTTTGTCAAAATCTGATGAATTAATGTCATTTATGTATCATTTAAATGATCTGTCTGAAATATTATCAGAATTTTTTTTTGATTTTTTGAGCAGCAGCAAAAACCCTGATTTTGAAGAAAAATACCTTAAAATTTGAATTTTTCCTGAGTTAGCAATGTTTTTGTTTCTTTCCAACTGGGAGATGTTAATATACAAAAAAATATATTTTTGGTTTCCTCTTTATTCACATGAAAAATGACTCAATAAATGTGCATAAAATCAGGCTTCAGACCAAACAGTGATGTATCATATRTGTGATAAACTGATGACATCAGGATGATCCAGGTGTCTAAATGTAGTTTTTAAAGCAGGAATGAGATCATTTCATCCTCAGTCTGAGATGATGAGTCACATGTTTCATCACTTCTTCAGGGTCAGGCTGTAAACTCAGCTTCTGTTTGTAAAAAATAAAAACATGTTTGAATGTTTTTCCTGTAAGAAACAATAAAACATGTTTGTGTTGTTCTGCAGGTTTCTGTCCACAAACAAACATTTTACTGACCAGATGTAAAAACTGTTCTTATCTGTGAACAATTACAAACTGTTTTCTTAAACTTTCATCCAGGATGAAATGAATTAAAACACAAAAATCAAACCTTTTCTTGAACAGGGAGGAGAGCCCYGCCTGTGGTCTGAACTGGAACCAGGTCCCTGATGGACCTGCAGGGGTCCAATGGGACCAGGTTTTAGTGTTCAGACCCTGCAGGTCCACTGATCCTCAGCCCAGGATTGAAATACTACTTTTTATTTCATGAAAAGTTTTATTTTCGTGTTCAGTGACAAATCAAAGCATCCAGAGCAGAACTCTGGATCAGAACCACGTGTTTGTCAGGACCAACAGAACGTAAATATAAAAATAAAAATAATGTGCTGTGATTGGTTTTCAGTCATTTCAATAGAAACAGAGGATTTGAACTGAATCGATAACTCTTCAGGTTTCACAGACCCAACAGTCTGACYTGAGTTCATGTGATCCTGCAGAAGCTCACTGATTGGCTGGAAGACACAGGAAGTCCATCAGAACACTCCCTCACAGTTCCTGTTTGAGAGGAGCAGCCCTGTTTCCCTGCAGGTCAGGCTTCTTGTCCTCCACCTTCTTCTTCTTCTTCTTGGTTGCGTTGTTGTCGGCAGCCTTACCTGGAAACACCTGACCCTCCACCGTCACGTCMGCACAACGCTCCTGAGCCACCAGGAAGTCCCGGACCTCCCAGGCCAAACTGCCGTCCCGCAGCATAAAGATGACCCGGTTAGAACCCACCACAAACCTGGAGGATGGACACACACACACACACACACACACACACACACAC